ATAAACATGGGTGTGCACGTATTGCTGGAATATGTCTTTAACTTTTTTAGGAAGCTACCTAGAAAGGGAATAGATGGATCAAATGGGATCTCAATTTTTAGTTTTTTTAGAAATCTCCATACTGACTTCCATAATGTTGTACTAGTTTACGTTGTCACCAATAATGTAGAAATGTTCTTTTATTCCCTCAGCCTCACCAACATTTGTTATTATTTAATTTCTTAATGATGACCATTCTGGAGTAAGGTAGAAGATCAGTGTTATTTTAACTTGCATTTTTCTAATGGCCAGAGGTGTTGAACTTTTTTTCATGAATTTATTTGCTATTTGTCCTTGTTCTTTTGAAAGGTGTTTGTTCATTTTAGCTGCCCAGCTTTTCATTGGGTCTTTTGTTTGGGCTGAGTCTAAATGTTTTTTAGTTTTTTGTTTTTTATATATACAGCAGAGGACTAGCTGGCATTCCCCCCTCCATTCCGTGGGTCATCTCTTCACTATGTTGTTTGTTTCCATGCAGAAGATTTTCAATTTTATATGATCCATTTGTTGATTCTTGATATTGCTTCTGTTCAGGAAGCTTTTGCCTCTGCCTGTTTGATCTCCCAGCAGGAAGTGTTTCTGTTTTAACATTTGGATCGTTGATCCTTTTTGGTTTTAGTTTAGTACACCGTGAGATATAATGGATCTAGATTCAGTCTTCTGCATGTGGACAGGAAGTTTTCCCAGCACCATTTGCTAAAGAGGCTCTCTTTCCTCCTTATATATTTTGGCCCCTTTTGCAAAGAACAGACAGCTGAATGCACCCGTGGTTGTTTCTGCATCCTCTATCCTTTTCCAGTGATCCACAAGTCTGTTTTGCACTAGGGTCATGCTGTTTTTAATCACTGTAGAAACACTACTGGTTTTGTGTTGGTTTTATATTCTGCAAATCTTATGTGTTCATTCATTAGTTCTAACAGATTTTTTTTTTTTTTTGGTGGAGTCAGTAGGATTTTCAATATGAAAGATCCATGTCATCAGCCAACAGTGACAATTTCACATTTTAATTTCACTTATTTCCTTTTCTGTTCACACCCCTTTTCTTTCTCTTGCCTAATTGCTCTGGCGAGCACATTAGTCTCAAGAGGTGGACCACGGAGAAGTTTAATGCCTTCCTGAGGTCACACAGCTTTTACAGGGTAGAGTTGAGAGTAAAATCCAGGGGATCTGATTCCTCAATCAGTGTTTTTTTTATGCTTCCTTTTGCCCCTATCCAGCCTGGTTGAACTTGCCTTTAACCGTCACTGAATTCAACCACCAAGAAAGAAAATCTGATATGTACTGAAAGCAAATATGCTTCAAAAATTAAAAAAAAAAATGCTTCAAATTTGACTTTCACAGTTTCCTAGCCAGTTTTTTTCTTGGAAGAAGGCATTTAGTGTGTGGTTTTCTGTGTACACAGGGTGTGACTGGTTTTGTAACCTTATTGTTGCTCTTTAGTTTAAAACGTCAAGTATAGACCATTGAGATACTTTTTGGTAATTCTCTCTAGTTTTTACCCTTTCTCTAAGAGCTGGAAAACTGAAATAAGATGCAATATTCTGAATGTTTTAGGTTTTGTTTAACTTGCTTGAGTGTTTGACAGTCTTGCTTGTATTTTAAAGTATGAAATAAAGCTGCAACTGGTGGCTCATACTTGTAATGGCAGAATTCCAGGAGGCTGAGATAGGAGGATTGCAAGTTCCAGCCCAGCTTGGGCAACTTAGCAATTTAGTGGGAATTGGTCTCAAAATTTCAAAAAAATTTAAAAAGGGCTGGTGAGTTAGCTCAGTGCAAAGGCCCTGGGTTCAATTCCTGGTAAAACACACACACACACACACACACACACACACACAGTATGAAATAAACTGTTGCTAATGTGTTGTTTCACTCTATTTACATGTTCTCTACTTTGATCATCAGTTTTCTTTGGATGAAGCCATCATTTATCAAGTACAGTCTTACCATGTTTTGATACTTTCCAAATATTTAAATGTAACCCATACCTCAGCTCAGGCTTCCTGGTTCCCAACCTTGGGGGATTTCTGCACCCTCCTGGTAAGATTTTGTGCAGCTGGTTCTCCTGCAGGACTCCAGATCTGCCTGCCTCGAGGTGTGACTCCCTTGTACAGACTTACCCTTAACGTCCACATATCCCAGGGTAATGTCAGCCAGGAGTAAGATCCAAGGCTCCCAAACTTATTGACGAAATATGTAACAAACCATTTCATAAAATATCCATTCTTTTCCCACCTTGACAAATATAACTTTGTGAAACCTGGCAGGTCAGCCTGAAATTTAGAATTCTTGCACATCTCCTGGTACCCCACAGGGATGGGACAGAGTGGAGAGACCTGGGCCTTTTCTGGCTGTGTTTGTTACAGCTCTGAGAAGAAAAGTTCTGTGCTAGACCGCTAAGCCTTCAACCATTAAATCTGTACTGCTCCTTAGCACACCTGTGATCCCAGGAGTCTGGGAGCCCGAGGCAGTAGGATTGCAAGTTGGAGTTCAGCCCAGGCGACTAGTGACCTAGCAAGACCTTGTCTCTAAATGAAAAAGAAAAAGGGTTATGGATGTAGCATATTGTGAAGGCCCTGGGTTCAGTACCTAGTTGAAAAATCACATACTGCTCCTGATCATTTGGCTGTTCTAATTCAACTCTGGTTTATCTCCCGAGGACAAAGCTCTGGTCACAACCCTGTGCTCAGGTGAAGTTATCTTGAGCATTCCCTGTACTTAAGCTGCATAGTCAGAGAGGGCTCAATGTCTCTGGAGTCAAACAAGAAATTACATAATGAGTAATAATTGATTAATGATAATTTTGTTAAAATCTTAAAAAGATTTTCTGGAAGATTGCCAGGTCCATACAGGACTCAATTAATTTGTCTTCCTGTGACTGATAATGAATATGACCAAACAGAATGATAATTATGATAATGAGCATTTTTTAGAAGTGCTTTGAAGTTTATACTTTACCTTGTGAAATGTTTTATAAGGTTTCAGTAGAGATCTAAATCAGTGGTAGCTAACAGAGCTTTCTGCAATGATGGAAATGTTCTGTTCTATTCTGTTCCACTCAGCAGGTAGCTACTAGCCACATGGGCCACACGGAGGAGGGGTGAATGTTCAAATGAAAATCAGGACACTAAACCAGGTGTGGTGACGCATGTCTGTGATTCCAGCACTCTGGGAGGCTGAGGCAGGAGGATAGAAAATTCAAGCCCAGACTGGGCAGCTTACTGACTTGGCAGGGCCTTGCCAAAACAAAACCAAAACAAAACCCCAGATACTTCTGCCAGCAGATGAAATAAACGGTTGGACAGGAACAGCAGATACTGAAGTGGGCAATATATTCCAAATTTTATAAAAATCTATTTGTGGTCACTGACAGCATGAAGCAAACAAGTTTCAATAAAATTTATTTATAATTTTATAGATTTAAAAAAAAAACATTGCTTTCAATTGCCTCTGTTTTTCTGGCTGCGGAGACCTCTGTGTATTGAGCAATTGGGCAGTTTTAGTCCAACTAATTTTACTAACTGTTGCTGTTAGTAGGACTTTTCTCTGAACTACGATGAGACTTCTCTTGTATGCTGTACTCTGATATCAGTCCTCCCATTAGTTGCTGTGAATACAGAAGGTACTAAGTCCTACCTATTCTTTCAACATTCATCTGCCATAATAAAATTACTTCCCTGCATTATGGTGGCCTTTTCATGGTGTCAATCAGTTCTCTATTTAACCTTTGTTACCAGAGGTACTTTGGAGGACTTTAGCGCCACCACAATCTCTGCTTGTCCCACCCACCCTAAATTAACATTAAATTAAAACTGCACTCGGAATGAAGCTTCAAGAAAATTCTTAGTGCTCCTCATACCTACCCAAAAGCCATCTCTCCTATGTGGGATTCCGGAGTTGTCACTGTCTCAGTAGATCAAATAACCAAGTGTTCTAATAGTGTTTGAGTTATGAATTATTATCGTGAAAGACAAGTATGATTGTGTAGCTAGCAAAAAATGAATTCTGGCTACATGTGTGGGGGCGTTGTCATTTTGACTGAGGGCATGCCAAAGCTAGACGTGTTTGCCAATGCATTCATTAAAAGTCAAATAAACTCTATAATGTGCGTTCACAGGAATACAGATGCTCACCCTGGAACTTCACTGTTTGAATATTCAAAAGATGCTCCCATTGCTAAGTATTACCTTCAAAATAAATGTACGCAATTTAAACATTTTTGAAGAGAGCGCTCACACTTCTAAGAACAGACTCGGGTCCCAGAGTGTTTGAGAAACAATAGGACAGGCAGAGCTATTCCTGTGAGGCTCTGCGAAGGCAAAATGACCTCACCTGTTTGGGACGGCGTCTTCATTCTGAAACTGGGAATAACCTCTTTTATGGGGCGCTGTGAAAATTAACCACCATGTTGCATATTCCACACCACAGCTCCGGGAGCGCAGTCGTGTTTGGGTAGTGAAGATCACAGAGGATTTGCACTCAGGAGAATACAAATTAGATCAGCCTTTGCATTTCAGGCCATGACCTTGGGCGAGCACAGATGTGAACCTCAACTTCTTTATTGATAATATAGCAATGGTGTAGTGTCCTCTTCCTTGGACGGAAGGGAGATGTGGAAGTAAAGTTGATGCTGTGTATCTCTTTATGGTTTCCTTTGTTTTATTTCTCCAATTCTACCCCAAACTCTGGAAATAAAAGATTCTTTTCCAGTGGTACCTAAATTCCCTGTGAGTGTGCAAGCTTTGTACTGACAGAGATTTTCCTGGGTCTTTTTTCTTCTTTTTAAAAATATTTTTGAGATAACTAGAACACTAACCACTTGATTTTCTCATGAATTCAACTGCTCCACCCAGTATCCTGGGCTAAAGGACAACGAATTCACTTGGTCCCTAAGAGAGAGGAAAATTTTTAAAAAGGAAAGCTGAGATTGTCCTCTCACTTTCAAATGTATTTCACAATTTTGTCTGTCTCAAACATTTCTAAGATCTCCAGTCCAAAAGTTATGTATATTTATTTTGGTAATCTGATCAGCCAGTTTAAAGGAAAATTTCATGTTTACAAAAGGCAAGCTTTGCTGGAACTTTCTGTACAAATAAAAGGTTAGAAATTAATATTGTTACTTAATATTTACCCTTTAAATCCACCCCTCCATCAGTTATACGTGAAATTCTTTCCATGTGTTTGTTATTCTGTTGGATTTTGATTTTAAAAATAAAGTTTCACGAAAAACAAATTTACGTCACAATTGAATTCTAATAGTCAGCAAATATACCAGGGAAACAAGACATTTCTTTTTCCAGAGTCAATAATCATTATTGCTGCATGTCAGCAAATGGTCACAGGTATAAAGACTCTAAATGTGAAGTTAGGTCTTTTTTCTTTTTTCTTTTTCTGGTACTGGGATTGAACTCGGGTCCTTGTGCTTGCTGAGCAGGCAGCAGCACCACTGAGCTAAATCCCCCGCTTGAAGTTAGGTTTTCAGGGAAGGGAAATAGTCAGGAGAGTGGAGTTATCACCGAAGAGGAAAGGTCTTAAGGAGTTAGTAAAGCTGCATTTGAGTCCTATCTGTTTAACTAGCTTTGAATCCCTGGTACTCAGGTAGAATCTCTTCCTAGTTATTTTTATGTTGATTGTTGATGCTGGGAATTGAACCCAGGGCCTTGTGTAAGTGTTCTGCCACTGAGTTACACTTCTAGGCCTAGAGTTATTTTTAAATTGTTAAGTTGAGGGGTTTGGATGTTTTTTCTCAGAGCAGTCAATTTTCTTTTGGGGATAGTTGGTTGATTAATTCTTGAAACCTGTAATGGTTTTAACTAGAGAATGCCTGGATCATACAGTCGATAGGGCAGGGATCATGACTCTTTCATTAACTATTGAACACTGGGTTTCTGTTCTATAGATACCTGATAAAACACTGCTGAAATGAAACAACTGAGAACTTGGCTAGCCAGAAGAAGGTGCTTACTTCCAGCTCAGTTAGTTCTACATAAAGCTCTTCAGCATGAGTCTAAAAGTTAAGAATCAGTGTAAATTTAGGAAAACTACTAAGGGAAGTGAATTCTATAGTCAGCTTCCATGGATAATATGGGTGAGGATTCTGATACTCCAGTCTACCACTCGTATCTGTAGGTTAGATACTTTTATGCCATACCCAAAGAGCATGACTCACACTGTGAGATCCATAAGTTAGACAAAAGCCTTTTCTAAATGGAACAGATGTCTATGGTGTTGATGTTACCTGACCCAACAGTGTCTGATTTCTTTAGTGGGTCCTGACCTTCTGTCTTCCCTCCTACTCTTGGCATCTACCCTCATTACCAGGCCAATATTCTGTAAGTCCAGATTAAACTCCAGGAAAAATAAGAAAAGGCAAGGATCTCATTGTTGGTGTACACTGCTCTTACATCCTCAGAGATCCAGTTCAACTGGATGTTCCAGAACAAGGCTGTGCCATAGGTTAGACACAGTCCCTGCAGGGTGGGGAGAGTTACGAAAGCCACTCCTGCCCCCAGTCCAAACTAGCCAGCATGAGGCAGAGGGACTGTTTTATTTAAACTCAGTGCTTTCATATCTGAACTTCTCTTAGCATTTAATTGCATTCTTTTTGTCCACAGTTCATTTTCTGGTTTAGAGCTCAAAACATTCGTGTAAGGTATCACTGAAGTTGGCCAGGAATTTGTAACTTGTTAAACGTTCAGATAATGGAAAGTTGGGAATCAGTGTTGGAATTTTCCCCAGTGAGTTTTAAAGTGCCTTTTCATAACTGCATCCTGGCTTTGGTGTTTGCAAACTGGAGGCTGAGAGTTCCAATAGGCATGCTGATTTCTCAACAAAATGAGCCATAATTAATTTCATTATAATTGTTTTCTTCTTTTGTTTTTCTGATAGCTGCCTTCAGAAGAGAAGTAATGCCAAAGCACTGAGTTTCCATCAACATTCAGACAGACCATACTGGTATTTCATTAACTACCTTCCAAAGTGCCTTAAGGACAGCTGATATGTCATTTAGTAAATATTATATTATAAATTTAAAATTTTTTTTATTAGCAGTCCATTTAGATATTCTGTTTATGTTTTTCACTTAGTAGATGTGGAAACTGGGTTTTTAAAAGGTTGAGTAATTTCCTGTAGGCCACATTGGTAGGAGGCATCAGAGTTAGAATTAAATCCCAGTGATTTTAGCCAGGTGTGGTGGCTAACATCTGTAATCTCAGCACTGGGGAGGCTGAGGCAGGAGGATCGCTATGAGTTCGAGACCAGCCTGGGCTACATAGTGAGTTCTAGGTCAGTCTCAACTACATAGTGAGACCCTGTCTCAAAAAACCAAAAAAAAAACCACACAAAAAAACAAAACCAAAAAACAAAAATACTCAGTGATCTTAACTCTCAAATCAGTGCTCATTTCTCTGTTCCCAAAATATATTCCCTAAAGTGTGGCCCATAAAATGCTGTTGGTCCCCAAGTGTCTTTCAGAGGGCCAGTGAGGGCCAAAGTATCGTCACAATACTAACCTGTCATTTGCTTCCTCCTTCATTTCATTCTCTCATGAGTGCTGGTGGAATTTGCCAAAGTTCCATGACACGAAATATTGCAACTACGAACATGAGAGCAGATATGAGAATCTAACTGTCTTGTGTTATGTCAGACGACAAAAAGATTCTGCAAAGTTATGAAACAACGCCATTATTCTCATGAGTTTTGAGAAATAGTTATCGTTCATAATGAATTATTCATGTTGACATGAACTTACCATTTTTATTACAAAATAATGGTATTAAAAGTGTCTTCATTTTCATTTACATATGTATCATAAAATACGATGTGTTTAAATAAAAATATTACTACAGTAAAAGTCACATTGCTATCAGTTCCCCTTGAAATGGTCCTCCTCATTTTCTGAACCAGTTCTGGAAGTTCTTTTCCCAGAGCGTCTCGATGTCCTAGATCAATTAATAATGTTTACTTTTCAAGGGAATTTTAACTTTGGGGAAGAGCCGCAAATCACATGGCACCAGATCCACTGAATAGGGTTTTACCAGCCTTCCTGCCACTGGAAGGCACACAGCGGCATTCACTGTACTTTTTTATCCCATCTTGTAAGGACACTCATTAAAGAGGACTTCAGAATTGCTTCAGAAGGTGGCAAGAACTGTGAGATCGCGTGTTCAAAGTGAGGAGGAGGATTTCGAGGAGGATTCATGGCCACGTGTCTTTTACTGTAATATACTCAACATTTTTGACCTGCACCCTATCTTTTGATCTTGTGTTAGATGCAGAGGTAGAGAGGCAGACAGATGGACAGACGGAGAATTTCCAACACTTAACACAATTATTGGCAACCTCAATAACATCAAAAAGTGTACATAGCGTATAAGGCCCAAGGTCTGAGAACTGCTGCTCTGCACCACACTTTGCAGACATGAGCACCAATCCAGACAGAGCTGCGATAGCTCCAGAAACTGTCCTTTGAGGTGCGTGGCATAATTTTTGCTTCACACAAATTACATCAATCAGGATCCCACTAGGAAACATTACACCCTGGGACCACTGAGGAAATTTTCCTAAGGAGGTGTGAGCAGGAGCCAGCAAACAAACCACGGAGGGCTCTTACCACCCTGTGCTCGAAGGGCCAAAGAGGTTTCTGGAGCCAGCTTTTCCTATTGCTGAAGGAGAGAGCTGCCTGGCAGGGACGGAATAAGCCTGGCAGGGCAGTGGTCCAGATACTTTCGAGTTAAAAGTTGTACATTTGTATCGCCCCTTTAAGAAAAATAACTCAAAATTATGTGTGAGATCAAATCTGCATCTGTAATGGTTTAAAACCTCCAACTGCCAAACTTGAATTACCTGACATATATCACAAATCCAAAAAAGTGTAATATTTTATTAATAGCTTGAAAATAATCCCTGAAATGCCATTTTCTATATTTTGACTGTATACTCCTTGATCATCTCTTTTTATATAAAATGTCACATGTTTAGTAAAAAGGACAGCTGTATCAAAATGTATATGTGCATTATTAATAGTTTAGAAAGCTTCAACTTTGAAACTTACTACTGGTAACACTACTTAAACCTTACAGATTATCGTCAAATTTGAGAACATAAATATCTTCCATATGGGCACCGTCAGACTTCAGCATCCTAAATTTGCTTATGGAATGGCTAAAATGCTCTTTGAACTGATGTATTTAGCATTCTTGTTGTGATACCATGTTGTGTGTTTTGTTATTTTTATCAACATCAGTATTTCGTGTCACACCTGTGAGAAATTAGTAAGAAGCTAAGTGTTTGTGATTAGGCAAGATCACCCCAGGATAAGGGAATTCTGTGGGTAATGCCCGGCTCAGCAAAGACATGGATTTTAGTGAGGAGGATTGGTAGGGCAGCAGTGAGGATAAAACTTGAGTGACAAGATCAGAAAAATGCGCTGCTGGAATGGGCCAGGGATCGAGCTCAGTGGTTCCACAGCCTGCGCGCAAGGTCCAGAGTTCAAGCCCTGGTAACAGCAACAACGACAACAAAAAAGTGCTGGAGCCTGCGAAGGAGGTGGGGAAAGAGTGTCAAATGTTGGCAAGTGGTTGGGGATGGACTAATGTTCCTGTAGGTGGAGGAATCAGGGGCTCCCCAATGATCAAGAGGCACAGGAAAGGAAATACAGATCCCTAGCACTGGAGTGAAAACACTGCTACCTCCTTGCCTCTGAAACCTCACAAACAATAAGTTAGAATATACATGGAAAGATAATGACAGCCATGGCCTCCATCTTCTCCTGAGTTCCAGCTCATGCTGGCCTCCTATTGACTCAACCCAACGAGAAGCCAGGGTGGCACAAAGCCAAGGGCATAGAGAAATCAAGGCTTCCAGAGAAAATCTCCATGACAGTGGTCTAGGCAATGACTTTCTGGATTTGACCTCAAACCCAAGCATAAAGGCAAAGATAAACAAGTGGAATTACATGTGTGATTGTGTCTGCTTTGATTGGCTTGTGAGCCACCCAGCATATAGGTGGAGTACTTTCCTGGGTGTGCCTGGGTGAGTCACTGAGGTGTGGCCTGGATGCTATCACTGATCCCAGCTCTGCCTCCCCATCTCCGTATCTAAACAGTTCTGCCTCCCTTCACCCTTCCACCATGATGTTTCTGCTTGGAACTAGCTGGCCACAGATTGAATCCCCTTAAAAAGTCAGCCAGATTAAACCTCTTCTATATTGTGGGTGTCCAGCACTGTATCCAGCAACAGAAAAAGTCACTACTACAACATCAAGCTGAAAATGTGTGCACCAAAGGAAACAATCGACAGAGTGAAGAGACAACCTACAAAAGGGGAGAATATATTTGGAAACCATATTTCTAATAAAGGCTGAACATCAAAACATTCAAATAACTGAACAGCAAGAAACAAATAACGTGATTAAAAATTGGGCAGGAGAAAACAATTAGGTAAAAGGCCTGAAAAAAACATTTCTCAGAAGACATACAAACGGCCAGCAGGCACGTCTATGAAAAAAGTTCTCGTTGCTAAATCACCAGGGGAATGAAAAGTAAAATCATAATGGGACAATTGGAGAGGGTACTGTCAACATGACAAAAGATAAGTGAGCTGAGTGCACTGGAACACACTTGTTATCCCAGCACTTTGGGAGTATTTAAAAAAAAAGAAAGAATGTCTAGGAACACAAAGTGCCTATGAATTTGACCTCCACACACACAAATGAAGGATAAGAAGTGCTATCCTTTTGCATCACTGGTAGGAGTGTGCAGCCTTTACGGAAAATGGCACAGAGACTTCTCAAAAAATAAAGTAGAACTTCTGTATGATCCAGATGTCCCACGATGAGGTCTATATCCAAGGCAAATAAAATCAGTACATTGAAGAGACATCTGTGCTCCCACCATTTATTATGACAGGATTTACAGTGATCAAGTACGAAATCAACCTAAGTAGCCATCCACAAAGGAATGTATAAAAATGCGATACTGAAGAGAGGTGTGGTGGAGCATAGCTGTAAACTAGCATATTCTGGGAGGCTGAGGGAGCAGGATTGTAAGTCTGAGCCCAGCCTGGGCAATTTAGCAAGACCCTTTCTCAAAATAAAAAATAAAGGAAGGGCTGAGGATGAAGCTCAGGGGAAGGCCCTGCTGAATCCCCAGCACAACACAAAACAAAAGAGTAGTGTGTGTATATATTACAGGTATTGAGAAGCTCAGCATACAGATCCCCAGTGGGTAACTAAAATCAGATGAACTCTGCATCTCTGGCTTTGATTTATATCTGGTTCCTTTATTGCCTTAAAACTTTGGGTCAGATTTCTGTTCAGCTCATCTCAGAGGCCATGTTAATTGCTTAAGGATAGTCTGCCTAAAAATGGGTAATACAAAGTTTATTAGCCGTAAATTTACCTAATTTGTCTCATCCCCCTTCAAGACTGAGGACACCAAGATAAGAATAACTATGGTACTTCCAAGATTTGTGGGGATTTTCAGTTGTAAACTTTGGCAATGTCCAATTCCAGACCCCCTGGAACAGTGCCTAGAAGGCTGTAGTCATTTTCCCAAACCTGCAGTCAGGGTGGATTCTAGGAAAGGCACAGAGATTGCCCCAGGATGAGATCACCTCCCCTAAGGGGGCAATTACCTGTTGGAGAAATGGAAACTGCTCTCTAAACAGAAGCAGTGATCTCATGGGAACTGGATTTCCTGTTCCAACCATAAGAAATTCCCCAGCACCACTCACAGAACCAGTCCCGTGGTCATGGTCAACTAGACTATGACATGACCAGCATCACCTACCCTGTCAGACACCCAAACCTGCCAGCTATGCAAACCCCAAGCTTTTCCGCTTTTCTTATGAAGCCTCAAAGTCACTGTCAGCCCCATGAAAACATTTCTTGAACCTCTGTATCTCTGTTCTTTTCAGGATGGCTATGATGATTAAAGTTCTTTGTCCTGCCCTTCACCACTGCTCATCTCCTTGCTTAACGTTTTGGAACCAGTGACAAAGCCTGGTCTTTTGGGGCCCCCAAACTCTGGTAATATATATGCACAATGTAACATAATTCAACAATAAGAAAGGATTAAATTCTGTCCTATGTGTCCAGATAGATGGAACTGGAGGATGTTATGCTGAGTGAAATAAGCCAGGCACAGAAAAATAAATACTGCATGACCTCCCTCACATGGGGAACCTGAGCATGTCAAACTCGTGGAAGCAGAGAGTGGAATGGGATTAGTAGAGGCTGGGGGGTGGGATGTTGGAGATGTTTGTCAGGGGACCCAGAATTGCAGTTAGAAAAGAGGAATATGTTCAACAGATCTATGGCACTAATGTAGGAGATGAAATATGAAAATATTGTATCTCACAACCTGTTAGCTGTCTGATATGCCAAGCTCATGTTCTCTAAAAATCAAAGAATGAGTTCTAGGAACAATGGAGGTTAAGAATGGGAAAATATTTATTGAGAAGACAGCTCTGAGAGGCAAGAGGGGACCCGAATGGATAGCCCGGGGACCTCAATTTACAAGGAAGTTTTATAGAGCAAAACCCATGTGGGTACAATATGGGATCACAGCTATGATTAACCGAAAAGGTTACAAG